GAACTCAACCCCAGCCTAGGTGAGGCAGCCCAGAACCTGGGGAACCAGTTCGCTGGTGGCTTTTCAGCCTGTTTTCTGTTGCTTGGGTCCGTTGGGTTTACTCATTGCCAGGTATTTTTAAGGCTGAGTATTTAGGAATTGGTGAGGAGGTGGTTACTGCTTTGTAATGGATGTGTGTAGAGGTCTGAGCCATTATGAAATGCCTGGGGATGGGATCAGCTTTGTCATGGGAGCATCCCACAATAGCTTTGGACTCCTCTCATGAACATCTCTTTCCTTAGTGTCGTGCATCTCTCCATGATCACGCCTGTCAGTGTTGTAGTGAGCTCTTAAATGTTCCTGAGACTCAAATGTTGGCCGAGCCATTGCTGGTAGGGCATGAACAGTCTCCATTGCAGTGAGTTTACTAAGGAATGTTTAATATCAATCTCTTATTTGCCAGTTCACAGTGGACAGATGCCTCATCCCTGGCAGTGTTCAAGGCCAGGTTGGACACAGGGGCTTGGAGCAACCTGCTCTAGTGGAAGGTGTCCCTGCCCGTGGCAGGGGTTGGGACTGGATGAGCTTTATGGTCCCTTCAACCCAAACCCATCTGTGATTCTATGATTCTGTAAGTGCCAGTGTGAAAGAGCTGTGGTCTCTGCTGACATTAGCATGGGTACAGCTCAGCACCCCAACTCTGCTGCTGCCCAGGGGGGTGTGAGCGCAGGGCTGATCTGTGCCCACCACACCAAGCAGTGTGTGATCTCACCAGGGCCATGAGAATTGGGCTGCTGCAACAGTGAATGCATTTCAAGCTTCCACACACTTAACTTTGCTCAGCGTTACCTTGCAAAGCAAAATAAATCTGTACAGGAATATTTTAAGTACAGTAGGTTGCTCGTGTTTGGTTTAGAATGTATTGCTCACTGCTGAAGTCAGGGCTGGGACTTCTCTTGTGGCTGAGACACTCGGGGACCAGAATTTATGAATCATGTCCAAGCTGATGTGACTCTCATTTTTTTTCTTTCTTGAAGTGACAGTTTGGCCAGCCCCATCCCACAGCATGGGCATGCACTAGACCTGGAGAGCTGCAGCTGCATTTCTGCTTTAGAAGCTTTGATTTTTACCTGTTTGGTTGGCTTTTTTAACCCTTCACTTCCTGTCTAATCTTCCTGCCCGTTCCCTCCACAGTTCCTTCCAAAGATACCTCCAGTTTAAGGCACTGGTTTCTGAGGTGTGCATGTTTTGGACTGTGGGAGTTAATGGTTGCAGTACTCTGGATGCCTAAAAAGGGGGAAATGGGGAACCAGGTGCTGAAGAGTGGCAAAATGCAGAGAACCCTTATGTGTCCTTATGAAGAAGTTGCTGAGAGCAGAGGAGACTGCTGCTGGTGCAGCCATAATGGCTGGAGACTTTGGAGGAAGTGTAGTCAAAACATCCTTTCAGCCTGAGAAAAATCCTCATTAGAGCAGCATAACCTAAAACCAGGGGAAACCTGAAGAGTAGTTTCAAGTTAAACTTATTCCTAGGGAGAAGAGTGAGTGTGTAAAACCCCAGGCTTCCATGGAATAACCTCACAAACCAAAGCAAACAGGGGGAACGGCATGGCTAGCTGACGTTTTCAACCTTGCATAGCCTGCAGTTTCCCTTTGCATGTTGTGAGGAGCTTAAAAGCGAGGATATAGTGGGTGTGAGATGTCTTCCTCTGCGGGGAGTCTCTCCATCGTAAAGGAGATTCATGGCAGAAGCGGACTGGCTTTAATAGCTGTTTTCTAATTGCCCCAATGCATCTGCTCTCCCTTGTCTGTGGGCTCTTGATTGTCTTTCCCTAGTTCTCACTGCTGTCCTTGACTGTTGTGTTGTTTAAAAGGCAAACCAGCTATTTCTAGGTTATCATGCGTATAATAAGCATTCACCTTGCTCTGGCACCTTTTGCACCCAAAAAATACCAAAGTGCTGGACAAAACATGCTTGTGCCGATCCTCACAGCACTCCCCTGAGAGAGCAGGGTCATTTATTCCCTTTTTAACCATGAGGCCGAGGGAGATTAAGCAGCTTTGTGAAGGTCACACTGGAAAATGTGTGGCAGCTTGGGAATAAACACCAGGACTCCTGTCTCTGGATTTCCAGTCGAACCCCTTCCTGAACTGTTTTCATAAGTAAGAACCAGGAATATTTCAGATGAATTTGTTTAGTAAAACAGTGAAACCCGAACATGGGATGTCTGGAGCAGGAGATAAAAAAGGAGGGTGCTGTCTGTCTTTAGTGTTGTTCCTGATGTTAGACATTCAAGACCAAAGCTTTCTAGTAGCCAGGTGTTGGAAGGAAAAAGACATTGTCCATTTGCTCAGTGCCACAAGCAGCTGTGCACTTAAATGCATTGTTTTAAGGTCATCCATCTTCTCTTGGTAGCATTGAACTGTCTGCTGCCATCCTCAAAGCTCTCAAATGGAGTTTGGTACCTCCAGATATGTTGTTCTCCACTGGTGGACCATTTTCCAAGCCATGGTTGAGCATGAGCACACACACATCTTCCTGGATGGGAAATTCAGAGCTCTCCATCAGATTTAAAGTTGCTGCCTACAGCTAAGAACGGCTGATCCAGCACAGCATTCCTTCTGTCTTTATGTGGTTAACTGGGAAACCAACTGAGCTGATCCCAGTAAGATCTGAAGGAGGACCTTCCACATTTCAAACACTTCTCCCTAAAAAGTTCTAGATGAGATTTCCAGCCATCCCAAAGAGTTGAAGCAACAGCACCTTGCGCTTCCTCCATAATTCTTGTAGATAATGGCATATTTTATTCCTCTGGCTCCTGTGTTTGCTGGCCCTGGCCCATGGAGTGTTTTATTGCTTGGAGTTGATGCTGTGAGGATTTATTGGGCTCTGTTTAGCCTGGTGCTGCTTCATTGCTTGGTGCCACCCTAACCCAGACGACCACCGGGCTTCCCGTGCCCTGCGTCAGACCCACACTAGCTCCCCTTGTGCCGATGCTGTCATTCAGTGCTGCGCCTGGTGCCTGTAATTCCCACATGAACATCACCCTTCCCAAAGGCTCCCCAGCAAACCCCCTCTGATTACTTTCAGGCATTGTTTGCAAGAGCTATGAAGTTTAGTGTTGCAAAAACCGAGCTGCTTTTGAGTGATTTGGAGTGGAGGTTTTCATCATCTGTGATGGTTTCTCCTGGCGATTACTTTCTTTCAGTCATTTGTGTAATTGCGGTACTCGGTTTCCTGTGGTTTTTTTTATACTTCATTTGAGATTCATCTGAAGATGGCATGTTCCCATCTCTAGGAATGGGGCCAGATTGAGGCATGAGCTGCCTAAGCTGACTGCTGAAATTGCAGGCCATGGTTTTGTTTCATCCTGAGACGCTGTTGTGATTTTGTGAGGTGTCTAAGACACGGTCTTCCAGTGCCTGCAGTAGCCCTATTCATGGCCAAGAATATTTCATAGTTATCCCTCTTCCCATCTTACTGAACTCCCGCAGTACTTTCTCATGAAAACCTGTTTCAGTTGTGTTTTCATTTCTGTATCAACTGATCACTCCAAATGACATGTACTAGCATGTATGTGCATGAACAAATTCCTCCCCTTACAGACACTGTGAGTACTGCAGAGCCTGGTGCTGGGTCCTGCTGCCTCTGCAGGCACAGAGCTCCATGACCAAGTAACAAAAGGAATTTAACACTTGACAGGGATGTTGGTTTTTTCCTAGGTGATCTGTAGAACCATCCCATTTAAGGGATTCTTGTGTGCAGGGTAAGGCATAAGGTTTCCACTGATAAATGTCTAACTACTCAAGAAATAATTCTAGGCTTCTACTCCACTATCATTCTATGATTCTATGTCCCAGTGTACTTTTTCCCCCAAGGTTAAAACCCCAACCTTTATGTGTTTTCACGGGAAGCTTTGTGCTTATCTTGGCTAACTCTGCCTATCCCCCTTCCCAGGGCCACCCTTTCATTGTGCAGTACAACGATGGGAATGCAGAAGTCGTGTCCATGTGGGTGTGCAGGATGCTTGAGGAGCGGCGATCAACCCAAGGACCACAGTGACAACAGCTCATCCCGGACCAGCAGCACCAGCCCCACGCTTTGGACTCACACTCTGGATCATATTTTACTAAAAACATTTTCTAGCAGCATCAACAAAATCTTTCAGGATATTTGTTGCTGCCATTTCCTCACCACCACATTAAGGAATTCTCTTCCCACATTTCTTTTGTTGCTGAGCAATTTCATGTCCTCAGATTATCTTCATTTAAACTGTACACAGCCTTAAAGCAAGTATTTTATATCTATATTTTTTTGTTATTGAATGTATTGTATATTTCCTGGCTCCAGAGTATTTTTTAACTGTTAAGTCTTTTGCTATTGTATGAATGAGTGTTGAGAGGATTTCCTTAAGGAGTTTTTGGCTGTCTTTTAGTGCAGATATCCACTAAGTACTGGGTTTAAATGTAAAACAGAAGCAAACAAGCAAAAATAGAAGGATCTGGGCTTGCCCATCCTGCAGGGAGCTGAGGGAATGCCCAGAACAAAAGCTGTTCGGGTAGGTAAGCATTGTACTCTCAGGTGACTGGTGGTGCCTCCCTTTAGGAAGCTGAGTGCCACAGCACAGCCTTGTGCAGCATCCCCTGAGCTCGTGGCCAGAGAATAGGGTGCAGTGTTTTACTACTTATCACAGCAGTCCGTGGCTTCCTTGGGAGCGTCTTGCCTTTCTCAGCTCTACCTTGATCCCTTATTTTCCTGCATCGGAGTCACTGCATGATGGATGCAGCTGGGTCAAGCAGAGGCTCCCGGGTTTGCTGCTGCCATAAAGGAAAGACCAATTGGAAAGTCTGTGCTGTGTGTTTCTCACTCCTGCAGTTTCTGAGCACATTCCCACAACAGCCTGACACAGAGTTCATCAGTCCTTGTGTTAAGATGCTTATTGAAGAGAGGACAGTGAAAGGCAAGTTTGGGGTGTAGGACTTGGGTGGAGCAGGAGGTTGGGGCTTTTGTTTGCTTCTCTTTGCATTAGAAATAAACTTTTTCTAAAAAACCCCAAAGCTCAGGTAGTTTATTACATACCAACAGCTTAAAGACCAATTTGGTGAAAAATTCCGCCAGAACCACTGCAAATCCTAAATGTTACTGTGGAAGCAGCTTGGAAAAGACTTTGTTTCCTTCCTTGGAGGGATCGTTTGTCTTCTTTTGAAGTATAGAGGTTGCAGGCATGAACTTATAGACTAAAGTTTGTCTTAATTGCTCTGATGTCACAACCTCCCTGGCAGATCACAGCACGATGAATGAGCCAGCAGCCCCCATACCTCCAGGTCCTCCTGCTAAAGTGAGACAAATCCCTTCCCTGTGAGCCACCAGACTAGAGGCAGCTCCTCCATTTATTGGTCTCTAACAGTTCACATTCGCTTTCTCAGGATAAAAAGTCTCTCTCTTGAATTCAGTTAAAAAGTCAGGAAACCCAAGGCTTTTCCTCTCGCTTTCGCTGGCAGGAGGTCGGGAGGGGAAGATGTCACCATGAAACTCCATGCGGATGCCAGCGGATGGGAATGTGAGACATCTCCCAGCTAACGGGCTGACAGTGTTATAATTCACTGGAATACGTATGAACCTCCCTGTCTTCATCAGTGTGCTTGATCAATCCAGCATCACAGGGAGGTTTGGGGCCTCTCTTGTATCTCCTCCTTCCTGCTACAACTTTCTGGACTCTGAATCAGGGCATCCCTTGGCTGAAAAGGATGTAGAAAACGCAGCAATGTTGTACCCCACAGCTGAGGCCTGCTCAGAGGATGGCATGGGGGGTGCGTAACAAACATTAATTCAGTGGTGGATGCTATAGATGCTCTGAGTGACCCCTCCACTTCCCCTCCTAATCCCACCAGCTCATTTAAGGACTCCTTCAGCAGCCCTGTGCTGGTTTCACCTCTCTGTCTTCTCTCCCTGTACCCTCAGCTGTGGTTGTACCAATAGACCCATCCCCTATGGAAGTGTTTATATGGAGCTCACAGGCTCTGGGAAAAACTGGGTATATCCCATCTGTGCCAAAACTTCCCATGTGTTCTGCTTTTTCCCTGACTGTGATCCTTGCCAGGTGAAACTCATCCTGTGAGATGAGCCCATGGTTGTTTGCCCTTAAAATGCAGCACGGAATTAGAAAATACTTAGGGGTTTGTGTCCCATGGCCAAGTACATCCTGCTGTCAGCTTCCCAATGGCAAATGTCAGTCTTTGTTTTCCCAGTAACAGCGTGCAAAGCTCTGTGTGTGGCTGTCCATGCACGTACATCTGGCAGAGAAACCAGGAAAGGGGAGTTGCAGTGGGTTGTGGCTTTGAGGGCTGTGGGGAGTCCCTGATCCGTCCCTCTCCCTGGTCTGTCACACGGGGATGGCAGCAGCCAGCAATATGCTGGTGTTACCAACTGAGCAATCAGTAGGAATAGGTCTTAGGAGCTTCATTTGATCCCTTTGATACTCAAGAGCATAAGCAAATGGGATGATTATGAACTGAATCTGCCTTGTGGAGCTTTGTGGTCCTGCAGGGAAAGTTTACGTGGAGGCATCAAAGGAAAAGGGATGGACCACAGGTACCCCCCATCTCTGTAGTGCGGGGAACATATGGGGACCATCTGAAGCAAACCTTGGGAATTTGGGTTTTTGCTGGGACTAAAAATATCCCTATTCCTGCAGGGAGCAAAATGTGCTGATGGAGAGCGAAGGGGAGCCCAGGGCAGAAACTACTGTATGGTGACAGGAGCTGCGCCCAGGATTCCCCCTGGGAGCCTGAGCCTGGCTCGTGAGGAAGAGGAGGGAGGAGGAAGGTCAAGGGGATGCAAGAGGTGATGTTCCCCAGGCTGGGGCTCTGCTCTGGAGAGGCTCCTTATTGCACAGAGAGAGGAGCCATCAGTGGTAGGGGCCAGGGCACTCAGAAGCACCCTCAGCCTCTTGAGGCAGTGAATGGAGCAGCAAATCCTTCACCTCTGCAGGATTTGAAGCAGACAGAGGACCCTGAGGCTGGTGAGGACAAAGCAGCTTTGTGCAGAGGCTCTTCCTCCCGCTCCCATTAGGATGTGCAGCCACAGAGGTGAACATGTAAGAGACCTCACAACACCCCAGGACACCCATCCCTCACCCGGCTGCCGGGAACTGGCCCTCACAGGCCTCAGTGTGTCAATGGGGATGAGTTAAACACATCCCAGGTGACCCCAGCTCCTCGAGACCTCGAGAACCAGCTCTGGCCTCAGCTTCTCCACAGACTTTTCAGCCATTTGAGGTTCTTTATTGGTGACTCCTGCCACCACTGCTGTCCTATGGCTGCCCCTGTGCTGCAGGGACCCCCAAATGCCACATGGTGTCCATGGGGCGGGAGCCTGGTCCTGGGGAGCAGAGGGACTCTCCGGAGGGATCACCAGGGACCACAGCATGATGATGAGGTCCCCATCTGTAGCAGATACTTTAGGATAACCCATCTTCGGCCTTCACTGGGGATCCCTCAAGCTGGTGGGGCTCACAGGCACCACGGGGCAGGAATCTGGAGGGATAAGGGGAAACTGTCCCCTGAACTTGCTGCCCTCATCCTGCATCCCCTGCTCAGTATTGCAGTGCTGGGCTGCCCAGCCCAGGGGAAGCCTAATTGGGGAAGAAGATGAGAAATCTCTAACTATATTAGAGAACGATGGTCCCACTGAATAAAGAGAAGGTCGTGCCTTCAGAAAAGCAAAGCTCGGAGGTCTGTGCCTTTCCCAGCAGGAAGCTGCAGTGGGAATGCTGCGGCTGCTGAGGAGCTGCACTGACCCGGGGTTGCTTTACCTTCAGTAAAGGGTCTGGCCATAAACTACAAGTGTGCACTAAGGACAGGATTTATAGATTGAGCCTCTCCGGCTCCTGCAGCG